TTTTTGTGCATACTATTTCCCATCTAGGCAATGGGTTTTCTAACTTATTGCAGCGGTACAGGCAGGCTAAAATGAGAAGAATTTGACACTTGTGGATGTGTCAGATTCATCCCCTTCCAATTGCCCTCTGCTGCTGCTCCTCCTAGCTGCTTCCTCACTACTTCAGATCACAGCATTAGAAAATGTAGAGAAATAGTGCTAAAACTGTAATTGGTAAAAGGACAGTTAAGCCAGTGATCTTGTTAAATAAGGGCATATTCAATTTATATGCTATAGATGGATTTACGTACATCCCATGTACCATGTAAAACTGTAGACTGGTGCAAAACCACCCCCTATGTCCTTCCTACCCAAAATAATCAAAAACAGTAACCAAAAGCTATATTAAAACAGCATCACCATGTCAAATGTATTCTATGCAGGAGCAGTCATTTAGGTAGAAGTGTCACCTCGATGATGGAGAATGTGCCTTTGCCACGATGTGTTAGTGCTTGGATGTGTCAGTTCCACTCATGGCACTCCTCTCGGTGGGAGGGTTCTGGCTAACATTAGACAGGGAGGTGGCCATGATTCTGGTTATACAGATTGTAATTTTTACATTTCGTTCTGTTCTTGTCTTGCCTCTCCCCCTCTCTAACCTTATCCTAGAAGTGGGACATTATTAGTAGCACAATCCCTTTGTGCATTACTTGTTCCTTGGCAATTGCTTTGCTATGTATGGAAATTATGCACACTGCCCCTCGCAGATAGGCGCACACCTGATCCACTGGGCAGCTGTTTATAATGTTAGTCAGTACCCTCCCGCTGAGAGGGTTGCCATCACAGCAGGATGCTCTCGGACTGGCAAATGTAATACTAATATCACTATAAGGCATGCCTCGAATGTATAAAACCGATAGATTGATGTACACAGAGATCCTCACCCCTCTTTAATTAAGAGCTCACCTACTCTTCTTGATGACTCTCACTTGCTAGGCAAAAAACAATCCCCTGCTGCTATCTAGCAACATAATGAAGGCAGTTTGTTCAAACCAAGAGAGGTTTTTTGAACAGAGTGCAGCTAAAGAATGGGGTCGGAGAGTGAAATTGAGGTATAAAAGGTTACATTTATTTGATTTACAGGATAAAATAATTTTCATATAAACAGACTGCACAATTCAAAAACGACTATCCCCACACCCTTAAAAAATGATAATTGCAATAATACAGAAGTGCAAATGGATAATGGGAATAATCATTGCAATAATACAGAAGTGCAAATGGATAATGGGAATAACAACATAAGTTATCCCATTATCCATTTGCACTTCTGTCCATTCCTCCCCCTCATTCCCATCCCTAGCCTGGCACCTGACCAGAAAGCAAACACGCAAAGATAGAATCTGATAAAAGTCTCGTACTTAATCAAACTCGGCACCAGATGGGTTAATAATAGATTCATGAGGAAAGGATAAAAACCTCTTGAACTGATTACCCAACAGGATCTGACGAAGCCCTGTGAAACCTAGGAGGGGCGAAACGCATCATCCGCTGTAGGATGCTAAGCTGAGACATCACCTGCATGTCAGATATCTACTAACCAGCGTGGTTATTTTGAGCAGCGGGACAAAAGGATCTGCTACATCAATAACCTGGACACAATAGAGAGCAAATTGGGACCCCTCCAAGAACCATCTGCTCCTCCTGAGAGAGCCAACTGGGGTATTACTTGGAACTTGCATTGCGTGACCATTACCACGAGCACAATCGGAAACTAAGACATCAAGTATCCACACATCTCGGGAGAGTGACCGTCCGGTTCCATGAGTTGAAGTAGCCGTGAGTAAATTCTACTCGAGTTTCTTTTTACACACAGAGGGGAAGCACCCTGCTCGCCAAGTTTGATTATAACTCAGCGGCACACTGCATATTAACTCATCGGGTCTATCCTCATGCTCTTCTTGTTCAACTAATCAACATCTTAAAGACACATCATGGAAAAAGAGAAACATATTAAGAGAGTTTGACAGGAATTTCCCAGGCACTCGACATATGCTATATTGCACTCCTTCACTTTAGTCCAACGCTGCTCCCTCACAATTGAGGTCCACCTGAAGATATAGAGAATATTGATCAGCTAGCTCCGCTTGTGTGTGAGAGTTGATTTGTACGAAAGGATTATTGCAATGATCATTTTTTAAGGGTGTGGGGATAGTGGTTTTTGAATTGTGCAGTCTGTTTATATGAAAATTATTTTATCCTGTAAATCAAATAAATTTAACCTTTATTTGATTTACGTTCTTTAGCTGCACTCTGTTCAAAAAACCTCTCTTGGTTTGAACAAACTGCCTTCATTATGCCTCGAATGTAGCATACACTACACATGTGCTAGTGAGTAGAAATATGATGTTGCACTGCAATAAGCTTTTATTATATGTAGCCCTGGAACCAGCTCTGCTGGAACTGATAATAAATACCAAATGGTTTTAAACTATTTCAAATTCAGTTTAAATCACTGAAAATGGATGTTGCTACTTGATGTTCAAAAGGTTTAACTTCAGCATGTCCCCTGAATATTGACCGTGATATTCTATTTAAGGGCATGTTTACACCATGTCCAGATCATGTCCAGAGCAGAACAGTTTCTTCACGGACCAAAAAAGCATCCCAATGTATCCCTATGGTATTTCTGGGCTCTGTTCACACCAGCGCAGTCCGTTTTGTTACAGAGAGAAAAAAAAATACTGCTTGTCTCATTTTCTCTAGTCTGGAATGCACTGGAACCAGTGGCGTCACGCGGGGGATGCGGCCTGCACCCGGGTGCAGACATCCCAACTCTCCCGGACGCTCCGGGAGTCTCCCGCTATTGGATAGCGGCTCCCGGCCGCCCGGGGAAGAACCACTTCCTCCCGGAAAGGTTTATCTGCTCGATCGAGCAGATAAACCTTTCCCCGCAATCGTTTTTTTTCTTCTTTTCTGACATCGGGAGCCGCGGCCCGACCGTCAGTCAGAAAAGAAACTAAAAGGCATACGAATCCATAGCTAGATTCCTATTGGCTATTGCAAAGTGCAATAGCCAATAGGAATCTAGCTATGCATTCGTATGCCTTTTTTTCAAATATTCTGACGACTGCAACTGTCAGAATACTAAAAACAAAATCAGAAAAAAAACCTGCAGATAGCAAAGAAGCTATTGCTTCCTGTGCTATCTGCCATCATTTCAGGGGGGTGCTCTCTCCCAGCCCCCCTAACCCCCTTCTGTGGATGGCACCTCCCTGAAATGGGTTCTTTCAGGTTGGGATCCCTGCGGGTGACACCATTGGAGGGGTGACACCAAAATGACTGACAGTCATTTTGGTGTCAACCCCCTCTGAAAAATCGGAATATCGGGCGCTCGGTCATGGACCGAACGCCCGACTGTATCAGGAGAGAGAGGAGGGGACCCAGCGGCATACCTTATCCCGCCTGGTGACTGTCCCCTCCTCTCTCTGCCGGCGTCCATCACCAAGATGGTCGCCGGCAGGTATCAGAAGATTGTCGCACATGCACGATGACGCCACGTGCATGCGCGGTAACGTCTCGACGGGGTGACACCCGGTAACCGCTCCGGGTGTCACCCAGCCTCGGGACGCCCCCGACTGGAACGTATGGAAAACAGAGATGTGATGACAGCAGCAAGTGAGGACTACAGGAGGAGCGTGGTTTTGACAGGTATGACCACACGAGCAGTGTTTTTGTGATAGATTGGAATACTGCTCTTTATTTACATTGCAGAACAACTAAATGTGTACACTGGCATCTTTATCACATTGCAACAGCATTATTGCATGATTTGATGCACTATGACATTGTCTTTATCCTGGCTGCTTTCTCTTGATGTCTTGTGTTGACAGTTTTGAAAATGCCTTCTGGCGGGAATATGACGTCACTATGACATCAGGGGGAGGGGAACCGTGGCACAGAATGCTTTCTATTGGATTTTGCACTTAGGCTGGGTTCACACCTGGGCGTTTGTAATATGCACGTTTGACGCACGGCATGTTTTTAGCACAATTTGCGGTCCATGAAACGCGAGTTTAACGCGCGTTTACGAATTCTATCAGGCTGGATCCTAATGGATACGCGCTGAAATCCGCCCCAAAGAAGCTCCTGTACTATTTCCGGCGTAGGGCGTTTTTCAGTGCGTCAAAACACGCTGAAATATGCCCAGGTGGGAACCATGCCCATAGGAATTAATAGGATTTCAGTGCTTGAGCGTTTTTCAGCGCTTCGATCAGCGCTGAAAAACGCCCAGGTGTGAACCCAGCCTTAGGGCTTAGAGTATTAAAGATGAAGATGATATGAATACTGTTGTCATATTAAAATCTGATGAAGGGGACCCTGCGATGTCCCGAAACGTTATTTGACAATCTGCATCAATAAGGTGTGCTGGTAACGTTTTCTATGTATTTGAAGATACACAGCGCCATCCGTGGTTACTACAGCACCCTCCTTTGTACATAGGGGTTCCGGTAAGGAGTGCAACAGTACATCTTTAAGTCCACAAACACACAAACACAGAAGAGCTCCAGAAAAATGCTCCAGAAAAATGCATTGCAGCCAATCACTAGATTGCATGTGTGTAGACAGGAAGTGGGTAATAAAAAGACTGCAGAAATTTAGCATGATACATGGTTCTTTAGCAAACTAAATGCAATTTACTTAGGGTTTACATCTCCTTTAAACTGTTTGCTGAGCGCTTGTGTGTATTGAAAAATGTGTTGTTATAAATAGAATCACTAAGAAGAGCTCACTGCATGTCAGATACACACCCTAACTGCTTCCTTTTAGTGCTTGGGTGTATTATGCAGTGATATGAGTGAAACCATGAAAACCTGCTTTATAAACCTTGCAGAAATTTACATCTTTATCTTTTAACTATTAAGAGGTTCAAAGGGTGAATGGGTAAGTAAAAACCTTTTAATATATAACACTGCTTCAGGATAAGGTCAGTGTCTATTAACTTGTTTTCATTCTTACAGATTTGGATGAGTGTAAACAGAAGAACCCAAGGGGATCTCTTTGTAAAAACAGCCGATGTATAAACACAGTGGGATCATTCCGATGTATGTGTAAACCAGGATATACGCGCTCTCGACACCCACACATCTGCATACCGCAGAGGAAAAGATAGCCCGGTTTCTACAGTGGTCAAAAAGCTATGAGAGAGGCTCATAAGAAAATCGTGCTTAGATTTTTTTTTTAAAAAGACTGCGAAATATGTTTTGTACAGCAGGGCACTGCTTCTGTAGTTTTCAAAGTGAATATGCTTATTTATAAAAAGGAAACTGTACATGTCCCAACTGTACAGACATAAAGCTTAATTGATTTACATATTTAAATCCAAATATTTCTGCAAAATAGGAACCACTGTGTAAGTGTGTTATGTATGCATATACTGGATGTTTATGTATAGACATGCATATTTATAGAATTCAGACTTACATTTAAGTAGTGTCTATGTATATGAACATGTATATGTACATTTATATGTATGTTAGTACTAAAGGATCTAACTGTAGCTGTACTGTAGAAATGTATTGGAGTTATTTGATAACAAACAGTGTAGGAGTTATGGTGTTTAGTAGCCCAGTAAGCCTTTAAGTTATCCACTTTCATTAAAGGATATCTAAACACAAGGACAAAAATGTCATATGTTGGAGCTTACCAGTCCTTAGATGTGGAGGCTGCATTAGTATTTTTTTTTAATGCTAAGAACATGTTCAACAAGTGCAGAAAATTCATACTGATTTTACCAGAATTGCAATCCTTCTGTAAACTACTAGTCCCCTCACCATGCATGTAATGGGGATCAACAAAGGCAGACATCTTTGAAGGGCAGTTTGAGTAACAAGAAAACCATGCCTCCTCCATAGATATAGTGAAGCTGCACCTAAGACAGAAAGTGTGTTATTCAAAGGATTACCGGTGAAAATAAAGGAAAAAAAGCCTAAAAAAGAAAAATAATGCAGCCACCTCATCTAAGGACTAGTAAGCTGCAATATATTCAGTTGTTGGGTTTAGATAGATTCAAAATGAATTAGTCACCACATCTGTTATCGGTCACAACCAAGGCTTCCATCTTGCTCTGGAGGCTGCTATTTACTGACACCTAGAAGCTGTGCTTGGTTGGGCAGAATATACATACATGTCTAGCATGACACATAAGGGTCTATTTTCTAAACAATTTGCAGAGCCATTTGCTATGAGGATGTTTGTTTTGTGCGAAAAGAGGCAAAACCAAAAATTTTTGGGATATTTTCTTTTCTGTTAAATGTTATTGAATACCGCATTATGGCCACTAGATAGAGCTGAAAATGTTTGTTTTGCCACTATTAACACAAAACAAATGTATGCAGAGATTCACAGGGCGAATGCCTCTGCACATTTGTTATAATTAGACCCCATAGTGCCCCATAATTACCACTGCAACTAGCCCTTAGGGCTATTTCACACCAGCCACAGTGCGTTATGGCCCAATTGGGCCGGAACGCACTGGATCGCATTGCGGCCAGGTCACTTTGTGTTGGGGCAGGAGGTGGCATGGCGGTGCCATTGAGTTCAACTTGAGTTGAACTCAATGGCACCGCGGACACGCCCTCCAGCTGCAGTTCGATCTGACGCACGGTCCGTGAAAATATGGTGAGAAGAAATGTGACTGGACCGGAACGCAGGTATTGATGTGCCACACGTTCCTGTGCGGGCGATCGCACTGCGGCCGGAGGGCGTGGCTGCGGTGCCATTGACTTCAACGCACCGCCACGCCCCCTCCCGCCCCAGCACAAAGTGAGCCAGCCGCAATGCGATCCAGTGCGTTCCGGCCAGAAGGCACTGTGGCTGGTGTGAACTGTGGCTTAGTGATATAACACATGTGAGATCATTTGCAACAATGCTTCAAAGACAGGAATGCTAGAAGGGGCAGGAAAAAAAACTACTCACCTGTTTCCATGGTGCTGCCCCACGCTGGCTAGATAAGCAGTGTGTTGCTTCCAATTTGATAGAAATGCAGCAATATTATGACTTCTCTCTTAGATTGCTCCAGCTGTTACTGGCGAAGGACCCATATGTTATCACTACTACATAGCCCCACAAATGTAGTTGCCAATTTAGTAAGAGGATGGTCCACTCAAAAGTAATATTTTAGTTTTAGACAGAGTGTGGTGAGCTGAGTCAACCCCTGACTTATTATATTTCTTGGATTCTCCAACAGTTAGATCTTCCAAAATTCTTAACTCTGCTCCTTTTCATTTGGGAGTTTTAAGTGTTCCTGTTCACTTTTGTTCTAGCACTTTATCTTGCATTCTCCATAACATTAATGGCCCGGCAACCCCACTCCAATGTAGTGTATTGCGGTAAAGCGAGCATTAACATGCCCGTTACTGCAATGCAATTTGCTTTCAATGGCACCCCAATGCGTTGCAGTGCACCACAATGTGTGATAACGCACTATTGTGCTTTCTGGTATGCTGTGTTAGAAAAAAAAAGTTTTACGTGTCTAATTTTTTGTGTGTGTCCATTTTAGTGCATTGCTAGCCCATTTAAACAAAGGGACTGCCTTAATGCAATGCATGTGAACGCACAGCAAAACAGGCATTAACACAATGTACCAAGAAGGACTAGTGTGAATGACCACTGCATGAAATAAATCAATAAAGTCAAACAGGGAGGGTAATAACCCAAGTGCACCAATAGAGTCCCTGAGAAATATTAGAAATTGACAGATGGTTCAGCTCTACTAAAACAGTTTTGGGTGGAATGATTCTTTAAAATTATATTAATATGAATTCTGGGTACATTTAACTGTCAAAGTCCATTGTGCACAATACAATCTTATAGGGGTATGAATGACATTATATTTAATTTTGACTTGTTTATTAAATTGAAATATAAATCTTTTTTTGTATGTTCATGCTTCTTTTCTTTACATTTTAATACAGTTAGGAGAGGTTTGAAATGAAACTACAGGCAAAAAGCACATGGTTGAAATACATATATGTATACATTTAGTTTTACTGCCAAAGGATTTATAACTGTGTTCAGCCAGTCTTGTTATATCTACAATTCTGCCACAAATTCCAAGTTCAGCAATTCGGCAGTAACAAATATTTTGTTGAGGAACAAAAACAATCCTTTCCATGACAGGTTTTTATATATAGTAACATTTCAGCAGATTCTTGCCTGTTTCTGTTTTGTAGATGCTAACACAAGCCATTTTTAGATAAAAGAATCTGCGCTCTTGGAAAGATAAGGCTAAAAAGTTAGAATACTAATCCTAAAGCTGCTATGAATTGGTAAAATATGATGTGCAAGTGATAACACAGCGCTAAAGGTGGATTCCGTAAGAAAGTAGGTGTAAAATATAAATTAATATATTGCCTTGTTCTGAAGGTATATATATATATATCCACCGAACTGGGGGACTAGTTACCTCCTCAAGGTGTATATATGTGTAAATACATATAAGTGAATAACGTCATAATGAAAAAATATCAAAAACAACTATGTATAAATCAAGTGATAACAAAGTGTCTAAACCTCATTTGTGTTGATAAATCTGAGCATAGACTTCTACGTGGATACAATGCAATACAATGTGAAAAAATGTTAACAATAAAAATATCTCATAAGTGAATGGTAAAAAAGTGACAAATCCTCAAACCTTTGAGTCAAACCGTTAATAAAATAAAATTAACGAAAAACTGTTGCACAGATAAAGTGCAAATAGTTCCTCCAAACTTCTGATTTGTGATGTAATTTGACAGATGAAAATTAATTGCAAAGTGAGAGACTAATATAGATATGAAATAAATTAGATCTAAAGTACTCAATAAGACAAACTGAATGTGCAAACTAAATAAATAAAAAAATATATAAAAATCAATTGAATCCAATTCCCCAAGCAAACGAAAATAAATATAAAGTCCTTATAAGTTCGATCTTCCAATCAACCGTCCACCAGGTAATCAGTACTCACCAGAATCAGTGAGTATGTGTAATATAATCACTCAGGAGCAGAAGGCTTCTAATCTCTCCGTTCCAATTCCCTCAGGAAAACACCCGACAAAAAGGGTATGGGGATTCGGGTACTGCCCTGGGGGACATGTATCAATGAAAAAATGTTTTTTTTAAAGGAGCGGTGATTTGAACATCACTTAAACCTGCTGCAGCAAAAATTAGATTTAAAAAAAAAATGCTGGTATTGTTTGCGGTTTCCCCTCCCAAACAATACCAGACTCTTTAGGTTTGTTAGGAATACTAGGAGGGACCCCATTAAAAAAAATAAAAGAAAAAAAAGCATGGGGGTCCCCCCCAAAAATCATGCCAGACCCTTGGGGTCTGGTAGGAATTTTAGAAGGGAACCCATGTAAAAAAAATCAAAACGACAAAACAAAGTGTGTGGGGTTCCCCCTCAAATTCATACCATACCATACCCTTAAGGTCTGGAAGGAATTTTAAGGAGGAACCCACCCCCAAAATGGGAAAAAACGTGGGGTCCCCCCTAAAATTCCCAACCAGACCCTTGATCCCAGCACAGGTCTGGCAGGGCAGGAAGGGGGCGAGTGAGCCCCCCCGCCCCGCGATACCAGGCCACATGCCCTCAGCACTGGGAGGGTGCTTTTCCAGGGTCGCCCCTGGAAAAGCATCTTGTCCCCGTGCCGATGGGGACAAGGGCCTCCTCCCCACAAGCCCTGGGGCGTTGGTTGTTAGGGTGCAGGCAGGGAGCTTATTCAAATCAGGGTACCTCTTTAATAAAGGGGCACCCAGATGCGGCCCTTGTACAATTGTAAAAAAGTGGCCAGACTTTTGAAAAGATCCTTTATTTTGAAGAAAAAAAAAATGGATCCACCGACGTAATCCAGGGTCAATCACGATGTCCAGAGTTGTCCACGACTGCGATGAAATAAAAAATAAAACAATACAAAATAAATAAAAATAATAAAAACAAAATGACGACCACCGTCCTATCTGCTCGCATCAAACCCCCGTCCCATAATGTCATTTTGACAGATGCTGGCAACATATAAACAATTGGGCAGAGCCAGCTGTGACAGGTAGCTCCGCCCAACTGTTTGCAGTTGTACGGCATCTGACAGGTGAGGTATGATTGGACAAAGTCATCATGACTTTGCCCAATCATGGCTCTTACAGAGTACTGGGCCCTGACTGGGCAAAGTCTTGCACCTAACCTGTGGTCAGGTGCAAGGCTTTAGCCAA